AGGTGGGATCCCTTCCTGGTAGCAGGATGGTAGCTGTAGATTCAGAGGAATTCAATGTTGGTGTCTGGTCAGGACCAATAATGGGAAGCAAAATCAATTCTGGGAAACACATTTAAAAAATGTTATGTTGTTATTACCATGTAGATTATTCATGGTAGAGTAGAACATGTCCCCATTTGCCAAATTATTATTAAAGATGTTTTGAATGCTGTCTCACTCTACCCCCAAAATGAGTGAACTCTTGCATTTAAAAGACCGTGGAATGTGTTTTAGTTTTAAAATTTGCATATCTGCATCATTTAGGAAACCCAAAGGTCTAGCTAACTGTGCCCATGCTAGCTAGATCTTGCTGGATTAGATTAGCTGTTACCTTTTCGATGGGGACTCCCAAATCCTACCCGTTGCAGTACCACTACTCCCTAGTGTGCTACCCCGGTCTGCTTTGCTCAGGTTACCTACCTAGTCCCACACTTGAGGAAATTACTATCAAAGAACACATTCTGAGCCCTAGGTGCTTTTGTGTCTCTAAACATAACTTGTGTAGGCATTTCTTCAATGGTTCAAAAGAAATGAGGTCAAGGGCCAGATCTAGCTGGAAGGTATGGCTTCACCAACTCTATTGTTAATTAGCCATGTGCCCTTACTAACTTATAATTTTTCTAGTCATAAAATTAAGCAATTGACATGTGCCACTGGAATATTACAAAGCTAAATTAAACCTTCAACCTTTAAAGAATGGATTTTTAATTCACATTTTATTGATGAAATAATTGTTTTTTTAATGATTGAACTAGCCATTAATAGTTTCCTCTACAAAAATTTCAGTTAAATATATACCATTGTTGTATGTTGTATACAATCTGCCATTGAAACATAGTTTCATATGAATTGTCCTCTTGAAATATATTTACAATGTAGCTCCATAAAAAAGTCTTCCATAAGGGATAATCTTGTTTGTTGTCTCAGATGTCCTTTTTTTCTTTTGGCTTATTCTGAGCCTTTTACCATTCTATCCTAGTACCTACTCATGACTGAGGCACTTACCAGTTTTACTACCCCAGCCTTGACTGCAAAATTAAACTCAAGAGTAGCTTTATTAACCTATCATTTTATAATACTTGTTAGAGAGTTGTCACAGAGCACATTTTCTTCTTGAGCAGAAATCACTTGACTAACTTTTGGACTATTTACAAAAGCCACAGGCAGATGCTAATGCATAAGTAGGAAGACTGTCTTATCTCTGGGATGAGGATATTTGATTTAAATTTTCTATGCATCCAATGGAAAACTAAGAAAACCACTTTGAAGCTTAATGACTAATTGGAGGTTCCATTGTTTCCAATATGGTCTAAGTACAAACAGTACCAACTTACAAATTCAACTAACCAATATCTTCACCATATCACTGAATTAATTGTTTGTTCCTCCCCAAACTCCTATTATAGCCACCAGAGGGTCCTCAAAAAGAGGGTATTTTCAGCTAGACTGACATCATATGCCACTCATATTTAATAGAATTCCATTATTTTTGTGTGCTATTACAATTTTAAGAAGGTGTAATTTCATTTATATGGATGACATATTTGAGAAGACTAATGAAAAAGCCTAAAGTGGCAAATTTTAAAATGTAATGGCTACATGCATGTAACATAACATGTAGATTACCCCTCCTCCTCCCTAGTGATTCTTCTTTAATTTTTAGGTTATTTGTAAGTAGCTGATACCTCGGGAACCAAGTCCAGCTTGAAAATAAAAATCAATCTTTGCAGCATTCCCTATCTTTTGAAATTTATTTTCTAAAAAGAAAGTAAATGATCTCATTCAGGAGTGCTAGTATTAATTCTTTAAATAGTATTTTCCAAAATAGTATGATAATTTAAAATAATTTCCTTTTGGGCTTTTCAGTAATGGACAAAAGAACTGATCACTTGGCAGAACAATTTACCACCAGGGGACATTAATGGCTAACAGAGCATTATTGGTATTTTCCTGAGTGCTTACATTGGTTTCCATTTAATCCTCACAACAATCCTACAAACACTAGTGTTACCCTCATTTTATAAACAAGAGATTTACAACACTTAATGTAGCTCTAAGTTCAGCACAGGAAAAAACAGTTATGTTCCACAGGTTTTTTAGCAAGGCCTAGGGAGGCCTGATAAAAGCAGGAAGTAGCAGCAGAAAGGTTTCCTGAGCCTTTTACACTTCAACAAAATTTCAAACAAACCAATAGAAAGAATGTTAGACAGGTCTTTTCAGCTTTCATCTAAGGCAATGTTTCTCAACCTTCCTAGTGCTGCGACCCTTTAATACAGTTCCTCATGATGTGGTGACCCCAACCATAAAACTATTATTGTTGCTACTTCATCACTGTAGTTTTGCTGTTATGAATCATAATGTAAATATCTGTGTTTTATGATGGTCTTAGGTGACTCTTGTGATAGGGTTGTCTGACACTCCCCGCCACCACTGTAAGGGATGTGACCCACTGGTTGAGATCCACTGGTCTAAAGAGAATCACTTACTGTTTTCTTCTTGGGCAACAAACGCTAACTTCGATGTTTGCGAAGATGTAGATCAAATATGTGCAGAGAAGTTATGTTGCCATCTTGAGGCATTAGCTTTTCTTTACCATGAAAGACACAGATGCCCAGGGGCAAGCGCAACATTCTTCAGGTTAGGGCAGAAATAAAGTACACACATTGCAGTTTCTCCCTTGGATTGTTGATTACATCACCAGGGCTGTGAGATGCATCCTACTTGGCAAGGTGGAGGTCCAAGAGTGTCTCAGACAGCCTAACCACACACTAACCTGGAGAATGTTTCTTCTTGCAGGTATTTCTCAGATTGTTATATGCATATTAAGTGTTTTGATAATGGATAGTTTGGTTTGAAGGTGATATGGTTAACTTGAACGTAATAGGAACACTATATCCAAAGTTGTATATTTAAAATACCATTGAAGATAAAAATAAATAAAATGAAGAAAAGGGTCAAAGTATTCTGCCATATTTTTATTCGATTTGTAGTAGTTTTGATCTGCTGTAGCTTTTTTGTTGGTTGATTTATTATTAGAGATTAAATCTCATTGGCCTCAGGTCTTCTGAGTGTTAAAAGTAACATTTGTCCTTTCTCATCGGTTTGTTCTGGAAAGTAGAAACTCTAGAAAATAATCTACCAATGGGTGCTTTTACCCCCCCCCTTTCCTATGCTGAATGTATGCATGTGCACATGTGTTTCACTATGCTTGCCTCTGTGTGAAGGTCAGAGGTTCTGGAACTTACCAACTCAGCCAGAGTGACTAGCACTGAAAAGATACCATAACCACGGCAACTCTTGTGAAGAAAATATTTAATTGGGGTGGCTTGCTTACAGTTTCAGAGTTTCAGTCCATTATCATCATGGCAGAAAGCATGGTGTGCTGGCAGAAGTGGTGCTGGAGCTGTTAGTGCAACAATTTGACTCAGAGGCAACAGGAAGTCAATTCACTGTGACAAGGAGGGAAGCTTGAGTAAAAGATATCTCTAAGCCTGCCCCCACAATGACACACTTCCTTCAACAAGGCCACACCTCCTAGTACTGCCACTCTCTTTGGGGGCCATTTTCTTTCAAACTACCATATTCACGTTAAGCAATAATAAAACCCAACCAAGTCATTTGCAGTTCGTGTTTTTTTTTTTTCCCCCTGCATGGTCACTTTCCTCACATTTTCCACCTAAAGAGCAGATTGAAAAAACAAAACAAAACAAAACAAAAACAAAAACAAGACAAAACCGGCTTAAGCATGGCAAGCCAGTGTTATATAACATGTGAGTACAGGCAGATTCTTTGGTTACTAATCTAGTTCAACATTTAAAGCTTCATCTGTTTACTAAATCTGGTGAATTAATGATGCACCTTTTCCCTCTTAGATAACCTGTTAAACCTATTTGTTTCAGGAAATAGTTTAAAAACATTTTTTAGTGTGGAGAGAAATGTGTGAGCAGGCCTGGGGAATACTGTTTGACCCACAGATCTAAAAGGATAAATGTACAAAGTGATGCTGGGCTGGACCGGTTTTGAGAACTGGTATTCAGACGCTTCTATTTTAATCCAGCGAAACCGCTTTTAAAATAGAAAAAAAGTATCTGCAGTGTTGCTTTCAAGCCAACGAGCACTAATGAAATTATCACCGTTCAAAAAATTTTGGAAAATTGGTGTACGTGAAAAAAATAATTTCCCGAGAGGAGGGACACCCTACTCTGGCCTTTTCTCTTTTCGTTGCCCTACGCGTCAACGTTCTAAATGTCTTCAGATGCATCGCTGAAAGGATTTTTGCTCATTTTTTCCAAAGCATTTCACTTCTGGGTAGTAGCCAGCCATGGAAAGTTTTAAGCACATTTGTGAGAGGGATGGAGTACGTCAGGGCTGCTTGGGCAGGATCGATGCCCTCAGAAGGGCGGACACATCCCCCCCATCACTAGCTGGGGGGCGAGCAGTGGGCGTGGACCAGGAGATCTGCCACCGCCCGGGCTTGCTCCAGTCCTGGGCGGCTCGGACTGGCGCGCTCCGGCTTCCCGGTAGCTCAAGGACGCGCATCCCGGGGGCGCACCTGCCTGGTGAGCGCCCAGATTCCGGAGGCGCGGTCCCCGCCTAGCGTGGCCTCAGGCGGCCTGAGGAGAGGCGAGCCTCTCCGGCGGGGTTTGGTCTGCCGGCCACGCACGTCAGTCTCCCTTCTCCCCGCCCTCCAGGGACCCGGGGACTGCGCACGGGCGCCGAGACGAACTTGACAGATTCTCTGGCCAATCAGGAGCGATGTCGGCAGACTGAGCCAATGGAAGAACGCGCAGGGGGCGGGCCGTTGGCGTCCTCCCGCCCCCGGGCGGTGAGCGGGGAATGTCTCTAGCCCTCCCCTGCGCGTCCGCCTCAGTACGGTGCTCGCGGCGGCTGTAGGAGCGGCGGCAACCGGTAGGCTCGGCGGCGGCGGAGGCAGCGGTAGCGGCGGAGGCGGAGGAGGAGCAGGAGCCACACCCCGCCGCGGACCCTTCGTCCTCTTCTCAGTTCTCTCTCCGCCGCGCGTGAGACCATCCCGGGAAGAGCGCGGCCGCCCACGCCCGGAGCATCCTCTGCTGACGAGCGGGCGCCGGCGGCATGATGCGGCTGCGAGGCTCGGCGATGCTGCGCGAGCTGCTCCTGCGGCCGCCCGCCGCCGTCGGAGCCGCCCTGCGGCGCGCGCAGCCCCTCGGCACGCTGTGCCGGCGCCCCCGGACGGGGAGCCGGCCGGCCGCGGGCCTGGTGGCCACCGCGCGACTCCACCCGTGGTGGGGCGGGGGCGGCCGCGCCAAGGGCCCGGGCGCCGGCGGCCTGTCCAGCTCGCCCTCGGAGATCCTGCAGGAGCTGGGCAAGGGAGGCGCGCCGCCCCAGCAGCAGCCCGGGGCGTCGCCGCCCGCAGCCCCGCCAGCGCCGGGCCCCAAGGACAGCCCGGGGGAGACGGACGCGTTCGGTAACAGCGAGGGCAAGGAGATGGTGGCCGCGGGCGACAAGTGAGTGGCGCGTGTGAGCCGAGGAGAGGTCGGGCCCGGGGCGGTGGGCGGCGGCGGGGCGGCATGGCAGCCGGGGTTCGCGGAAGAGAAAGAAAGCGATGCCAGGCGGCCGGCGACGGCTGCCTGCGCCATGTGATTAGGCCCGGCCCGGCCCCGCCCGCGCCCCTCCGCCTGCTCCCACTTCCCCTCCTCGCCCGCGCGGGTCGCCCCGGGACGACCGGCGGGGTAGCCGGCCTGCCGCCCCTGCCCTCGGCCCGCGCCGCGTGCCCAGCGCCCCCCGGCTCGCGGCCGCAATCCTGACCCGCCTCCGGGCTTGGCGAGGGTGATGCCACACCAACATCCATCTCTGGCGAGTGACATTGAGGAGTCGGGCGTAGAGCGGAGCCTCTACCCTCCCGACTCACCTTTTTACGGGCCGCACTGCCCCTGCCTGCCGCCTCTAAGCCTCTGCCACCATCCCATTGGATGCCAGATGTGGCAGAGGGCCCTTAATCCTTCTAAGGTGGAACGTTTTGGCGTGCGTAGAGCCATCTGGGCCACCGGAAATAATGCTTGAGAAATGAGATTAGGCGGAATAGGGACATGTGGCCTAGAGGATGAGGCACGCAGCACGGACCACCTGTTCCTACAGGGACCAGCAATGGCTTGTGTGATGTCTAATGTGACAGTGACAGGTTTTTGTTTTTAAAGCAAATAAAGGGTGACATAAGCACGCAAATATCTTAAGTAGTTTAGGGGACTTAATTATGATAGGATGTTGACTCGTATATATCGTGTGTTAGCTTCAACAAAATTGGGTTTTTTTAAATATGACAGATTTAGTTTAGTTTTTCCAATTAGGTAAACGTTGACTTTTAGACATATCCAATTTTTCTGACTTCGTACTGACACCGTGTGTCCTGTTTTTGCATTTTACTTCTCTTTCCAGCTCTGCACTATAGCTTAAGTCAAACTGAAAGTGTGAATTTTAAAACCTCAAGCTCAGGCCTGCTTAATGTTTCCTGTAATTGATGTCGGGACCTTCCTAAGACATTATTGGTTGTTTTCCCAGAGGGGGGGAAATGCTATTTCAAAACAAGCGAAAATCACTTTATGATGGACAAATTTGTGCCACAAACTAGCTTGATGATCATGAGCACATTGAAATGTGTTGGTTTAGGTAACTCAAATCCCTTTTAGTGTTTTGTTTTTTAAACCTAGACTTTGGTTAAATTTACACCTCTTTTTAGAAAGTAGACTGTCTATTATGTATGTTTAATCACATACAGGGCTCACCTTACCATCTGGCTTACCAGGCTTGTGACACAAAACACGTTTATACTTAACAGAATTGCAGAGTGCATTTACTACCATTTAATAGTTAATATTCACAGTTTACAGGTGCTTTCTGTTAAAAGTACAGCTGGTTCTGTGACCTACCCCCCCATCCCACATGGCTCTAGTGCCCTTTTTTAAAAAGTCAGATAGGAAAATGAACTTTTGTGTCTTATTTCCCCAGAAGTTTCTGGTTTCATTGCCCTATTAATAATATTAATAAGTCATTTCAGAACTGTAACTTAGGAACGCTGTTTTGGCTAATACCCCATCCTGTTTCCCTTCATTTTGCCCAGCAGAAACCAGTTTTTAGGGAGGGAATTCCCCAAGATTTGCTCAGATTCCTGGAGAGTGTTAAGTGCCAATAAGATAACCTTGTTTACTTTAGTTAAGGGACTAGACTAGTGTGAGAGTATGTGTTTGTACCAACATTTAGATAACAACTAAATCGGTCCACTCTTAAGTCAGCTCATGTTTGACCTTTCTAAGCTTTATCATTTCTAAATGTTCAGCCTCCCTCCTAAGCATAGGTCTTTCTCAGTCAGCAGTCCATCTTGTTTGCCAGCACTCTTAAGACTGCCAGAGTTTATAAGGTTACTAAGAAATAGCCATGTAAAAATTAATAGTTGCTGTTCTTTATACAAGGCTTAGAACAGTGTTGGGCATGTGTTAAAAACTACACTTTATTCACTAAATACAAGTTTCTTCTTTTAGTTTAAAATCCTGTTGTGGGTGTTGATCTTTGAATTTCAGACTCATGTGACAGTTTTTATTTTTAGTTCCCAGAGAAAGTTTGTCTTGAAAGAAACATGTCTTACATGAAGCTGTGTGTTTTATGCAGTTTACATTTTTAAACTTTGCTGGGAAATAAGGTCGGAGCAAACTTAATGCTTAACCACAGCACTCTCATTAGTTCATAGTGCTTTTCTTTCCTTGGTTCAGACCTTATATTTTACTAACCTTATTGTAAACTGTAGCTGTTGGAATGTAATCAAGTTGTCTATCTTTTTTTCCAAAAACCAGTAAAACTCTGAACCCATATCACCTTACACTATATTGTCACAGACCTTCAGTCTGATAAGGTTGTTATATGACTAACATTTTAATAGCTTAGAGATAAGCATGATGATCTTTGCTCAAGCTTTCTCTGTAGTGATCTTAATTTTGTTATCACTGTTCATTTCATCATTAAAAACCAAACTGCTTGGCTTGCTTCCTTTCATTTTAAAACAGTTGTTCAGTCTGTTTTCCTGTGGCCGCTCCGAGGTTTCCTTCCTCGTTGAAGTCATTATTGCCTTCCCCACTTTACCTTCTCAACAGGACTTCCATTCCTTTTACTCTGATATTCAGCTTTGTATAGATAATACCTTAGTTCTTAAGCCAGGCTCTGTCCTTATATTTGTGTTGCCAAATCAATCATTTCTCCCCCCCCCCAACCCTGATTGTCTGTTTTACACACTGTAGCTTATGACTTTCAGAAAACAACATGGGCTAGAATGAACATTATCAATTACAAATGTGTTGTGGCATTAAGAGCTTTGGCTAACTTGCTTGCTGGCTTAACATTTAAAAAAAGAAATCAGATTTATATCTTCTCTGTTAAAACTAATTTCAGCAAAGCCCAGAAATGTCTTTATTTTGGTGAATGATCCTTAGGAGAGGCTGGGGTGTGTATGTGTGCTTGTGTACATTAAATTACCTTAGGTTTGAACATTTTCTTTTATTAGGGAGATGAAATGCTAGTATGTATTTTTTACGAAACCTAATTTTTACAGGATGCAATAATGAAAACATTCCATTAAAATAGCCATGAGACCAGTTTCCCATCAGTTTGACAGGTGTTGTAAGTGCAGTGATCCCAAAGTGGTAGAAAAGAGAATGCCTTGCTGGTTTAAAGGCATAAATTTGTTCACTATTTGGAGAGCAGTTTGGTAGTTGTTAAATAAACAAACAAACCAACTATATGCCCCTTGTGCAGTAATTATGTTTGCATGTCTCCAGGAAGTCTGAAATTTTAGAAATATGTTTTTTAGTTACACAAGAGTTTAAATTTAAAAATAAAATGCACACAGAAGTGATTTCATCTAGTTTCAATGGTGTTATATATTGTATTTTCATAGTTCCTACATTTAATATGTGGAATGTGAGGAGCACAAAAATTATTGCATTGTCTTTTGTGAAAATTGAATTTCAAAGTAAGATCTAATAATACATACTTCAAACAGTACTGAAAATGAAATTTAGACAGTATTTGGCAGATTTAGATAATATATTTTGATATTGGATAATAAAAACTTCTCAAATAGATGACTGATACTTTCATGATCCTCCTGAATTGCATCTACTTTGAATTTCTAAAGGTTAACATTTACAATTCAGGGTTAGAGAGATGACTCAGTGGTTAAGAGTATGTACTGCTCTTCCAGAGGATCAGAGTTCAGATCACAGCATCATATCCAGCCCTGTAACTCCAGCTCCAGAAGACCCAACTCCCACTCCTGGCCTCTGCAGACACCTGCACATTCATGAGCACATATTACTCGCATAGACGACTCATACTTAATAATCTTTTAAAAGAGTATCTAATTTTTTATTTTGTGCTTCTTAGTTTTCTCTCATTGTTTTGTGATTTCCCTAGGAATAAACTTTTTCAAGTCATGTTTGTTTTTGCAATGCAGAGGATTAAGCCTAGACCTTGTACATACTTGCACATGTTACGCTGCTAAACTACCTTTCAACCCTCTTTGTTTCAATGGGAAGTGAAAACAGTATCAGTAACTATGTCACATTTTTGAACCCTAATATTTACATTAAACCAGGCATCTCGTAGTCATTGATAAACCTGTATATAATCTGCAAGTAACTCATAATATTGAACAAATTTATATAAAGTTCAATGAATACAGAAATTTGAGTCCTGAAATATTAGCTTCTTGCTTGCAGCTTTGTTTCATTGAGAAGTTTGCCATCTACAAAATGTAGGGAGCTACCAAATGGTATTCACTTTTTAAAAAATTACTATCTTTTAATGTGCTTTACCTGCATGCATGCATGCATTCATGTATGTATGTATATGTGTATACCATATGCATGTCTGGTTCCTTTATAAGTCAGAAGAGGGCTTTGGATATCTTGAAACTGGAGTAAGCCACCCTGTGGATGCTGGGAATTGAACCTGGGTCCTCTGCAAGAGTAACAAGTACTCTTTATCACCGAGCCATCATCTCTAGGGCTCTAATTTCATATTTTTGTTAAATGAGGCAGTGATACCTAGCCAAAAAATGGGGAAGGATATTGTTTTATTCTGAGAAGTAAATGTCACCTTGAAGAGCAAGTTTATGAAGATACTTGGATTTCTACAATTTTTAAGACATTTAAAATTGCTTTAAAAAACTAAACCAAACAAAACAAATGCCCTCTTCTATTGTAATATTTGAGGTGAAAAACATTCTTTAAATAGTTCAACAATACCAAATCCTGTATAAATCAAGGGCACATTTGAATTTATGTGGACTTTTTCATCTAATGTACCTACTAGTAAGAGAATGCTTAAAGCTGAAGGAACAAATAAATACGTTTTTAAAGTTTTGTGATTATTCATATCTGTCAGTGTTGCATACAGTTGCACACAGACGTTTATTCCCAAATTTTCCCTAGACTATTCCATTGTAAAATTGATTTGGTTA